TGCGTCGCAGTCGTATTCAGATACTTTAGAGCTGACCTTTAAAGTCATAGGTTTTTCTAAGAAGCTCGTAGGATATTTTATCAAAGGAAGAAATGAGAGACTCAACGAAATCGTCGCACAAGCTCTTGTTGATATCGTTTATTTCAAATGCCCGTGCGTCTCCCGAGGGAGGGGGGGTCGAAGGTTCGAAACTGATCAGCATCATGAAGTTCTTTTCAAAATCTCTGTTTTTCTTTTTAATTGAACGTAGCGCTCAGGTAGGAATGATTTTCTTCCTGAGAAGATGGTGTTTCCTCTTACCTTGTGTAATACTAATAATATCCGGCACAGATGTCTGTATGTTTGAGTCTTGATGGTAATTTATTCCTAAATTAAACTTTAGACAAACGCGTAATAGTAGATCACATAGACTACCGCCTCTGTTCTCCATAAAATCACACAAACTTATTTCTTGTTATCTACAAACTGTCTCCATTTAATTAGTAATGTAAATATAGGGTAGAACAATGAACTGAAACAAAAACGTTGTAATATTTATCAGTTGAAAGGCATTTATTGGACGTGGCTTTAAGACTAAACGCTTATGATAAGGTGTGTTAGTAAATGTTGTTTATAAAAGGAGAATGAAATAATTGTTTAGAGATTTTTGATAAATCCTAAGTAGCTATCATTTCCGATCGCGATCAATAATTACAAAATGTGTTTGTTCACATTTGTATTAAGATGTAGCACACGCGATCAAAGGATTGTGGTTAAACGCGCAAGAGAATCGCAAAGACAAGAATACAATCATCTGCCGTATACATAGCAGCTTGTTTGATACAAAAACATTTTTTTTGTCTCATTAATCAGACGTAGAAAGGAAATAAGATCATAGGGTTCAATATCATAACTTTCGTTCGTGATTGTCAAAAACGATTACTAAGAATCTGCAGTTGAAAGAAAGAGAGCATGGAGGATTAAAGTGCAAAAATGGTTTGGTGGCTTTACATCCTGCCGTGCGAAACGTCATTTATTCAGTACAAATTTAAATCAAACATTTCGTACAGGCTTTGCTCACCATCGACCTTTGAATATTCATTGGGCTATGGTTTCAAATTAAAATCTTCTTCTTTTCAACAATGAATAAAAAAAAAAAACCTCACTCAGAGTGGAAGGCTGTTAGGCGCAAATAACACTGATCGGATGATCGACGCACGCGAACAAGCTCAGTAACGCGTGTCTCCTCTCTTGCGCACGCCTTGAATTGTTGGATCCATAAATAATATTTCCAAAAACCCCACAATAATTTACGATCCAAGATTATTTGTGAAATGCAGAAAAATGTTGAAAACGCAAAAAAATTTTGCCAAGTACCGCTTGCGCCAGCTGTCAGTTGAAGTCAGAGGCCTAATGAATTCCCGCTGTTCAAACGGACGGACAAGTATATAATTCAACTGTAAACGATTAGTTAAGTTTTATTAAATTGAAATGTCTGTGTTAACACGTGGAACTGTAACTCCTCTAATAACTCAACCATTAAAAGCAGTAAATGAAACTAAAATTTGTTTCGACACTCATATCAAACCTACAAAGGCTGATAGTTTCGAAAGAAACTGTTTGGGGCTGCGTCGGTGGGAGTAACGAAAATAATTTGGATATATCAACAAAGTTGAAATGGTAAATTGGCCACCGTAACGATTACAAAAGCTGACGTTTCGAGCGTTAGCCCTTCGTCGGAGCGAATAGAGGAATTGTGGGTTGTGTGTGCTTTTAAAGGCAGAAAATGGAGCTACGTTATTGGTGGGAACATGGCAACGAGAAAAACAAGAATAATTCCACCAATAACGTAGCTCAATTTTCTGCCTTTAAAAGCACGCACAACCCACAATTCCTCTATTCGCTCCGACGAAGGGCTAACGCTCGAAACGTCAGCTTTTGTAATCGTTACGGTGGCCAATTTACCATTTCAACTTTGTTGATATATCCAAATTATTTCGTTACCCCCACCGACGCAGCCCCAAACAGTTTCTTT